AGGCAGAGGTGTGTTGTTACTGGGGAAAATAGGCAAGCATACCAAAATGCAAGGAGGCAGACATTTTAACACTTTTACTCTTTTGAATTGCAAACCTTTAGTGAAATTTTGAAGCCTAATTTTCAAAGTTCTCTTTTTATGCAAAACCTCTTAGCTTTAGAAGTGATCAGGATAGCAGGAGATCAAGGAGTTTGATCTAGCTGTGTTTAAACTGTGCTTGACTTTTAGGGGGTCCTGCCCATCCCACAACTGTTTGTCAGAAGATGCAAAAGTTAAGTTCAAATTCCCCCTAACTCCCTTCAACATTTTGACTATGTTCTCTGAGTTTGGCCTTGTGGGTGGATAATGCCTACCCAAAATTCAAAGGCAATATCTTTAAGCCTCAACTATTTCTTTAGCCCAGGTAAACTTTCAAATTGGAGAATAAATCTTGGCTTCCTTACCCCCGAAAGCTATCCTTACTAGTACAATTACAAGTTTGCACATCCTTTTCTTTTCCTGAATTACAGAATAGTAGAGTTGCTGGAGAGCCCACAACTTTCCTAGATGATTAGTTCCATTGTTTTACTGCTCTAACAGTCAGGAAGTACTTTCTGATGATTGATCTTGAGCCCATTATTCTGTGTCTTGCACTCTGGGATGAACAGGAAGAGATCTGGCTTCTTTCTTTATGGAAACCTTTCAAGTACTTGAAGATAGTCAATACCCTACAGGGCTTTGTTTCCAGTCCCCAGATCATCCTTGTTGCCCTTCTCTGAAGACTTTGCAGCCTTGCATCCTTCCTAAACAGTGGTTCCCAGTAATCCACAGTATTCCAGATGAGACCTAACCAGTGCCAAGTAGAAGGGAACTACTACTTCATATGATTTGGAAATGATGATGTTACATCATACAGCCCAAACCAGCCGCTTCTGGTGATCCATGTGGGGACAAATGACATAGCCAGGCAGGGTGTGGTCAGGATCACCAGGGACTTTGAGGCCTTGGAGAAGAAACTCAGGGACCTAAAGGCCCAAGTAGCCTTCTTATCTATCTTACCAGTCCGGGAATTTGGTCCAGGCAGGGATAGGAGGGTTGCCGAGGTGAACAACTAGCTTAGGGTGTGGTGCCAGAAGGAACACTTCGGGTTCCTCGACCATGACACCTGGTTTCTTGCCAACTTCTGGCAAGGGATGGGTTGCACCTCATGAGGATGGGGAAAAGGTCCTTTGGAGATGCTCTAACGAGCTTTGTCCAGAAGACTTTAAACCGGGGGGGTGGGTTCAGGCCCCCCAGAAACTTGTCTGCACTGGACAAGTGTGGGGAGAGGATCAGAGCTCTTGGACCAGGGTTTTAGAGGTACTGCAGGGACTGACCAGACTCCTGTGAAGAGAGGGCCAGTATCAGGGAAGATGGGAGGAAGGAGGAGGCTGGGGACTCCAAAGAAAGGAAGCTGCAGGAAAGGAGTTGAGGTGCATGTACACCAATGCTTGGAGCATGGGTAATAAGCAGGAAGAGCTTGACACTCTCCTGGGAATAGGAGGGTATGACCTGGTGGGGATCACGGAAACTTGGTGGGATGAAAGGCAAGTCTGGAATGTAAACATAGAGGGGTATCACCTGTTTAGAAAGGACAGGAAGGGGAAAAGGGGTGGGGGTGTACCTTTATATGTCAGAGAAGGGATAGGATGCAATGAGATAGAATGCAGCACAGATGGGGATTTGGTAGAGGCAGTCCGGGTAAAACTAAGGGGTTTTGACAGGGAAAGGGACCTGCCAGTGGGTGTATGTTATCACCCTCCAGGTGAACTTGAGACCCTGGATGATGTCCTGACAGATCAGATTCTAAGGTTATCTCAGGAGAGGAACACAGTAATTATGGGATATTTCAGTCTCCCGGATATTAGTTGGGAGACTCACTCGGCAATGACAGCCAGGTCACGTTGCTTCCTAGAAGCTATAGTGGGAGGATTTTTCACACAGAGGGTTCAAGAGGCGATGGGGGGCAGGGGGAACATCCTTGACTTGGTCCTGACCAACAGGAAGGAGCTGATAGATGAGGTAGAGATTAGGGGAGCTCTGGATGCGAGTGATCACTCCATCCTTTGCTTCGAGATCAGGGGAATGGGGATGTGCAGCAGGTCGAGCACTAGAAGCTGGGACTTCAACTGAAGGACAGACTGGGGAGAGTCTCCTGGGATAGATTACTGGAAGGCAAGGGAGCTGAGGAGGGGTGAATAGCACTCAAAAGGGAGGTTTTGGAGGCACAAGCCTTGACGATACCTCTAGTTAACAAGGCGGGGAGGCGAAGAGGAGTGCTGCCATGGATGTGAAAGGAGGTGGTTAGAGGGATTAGATGCAAGAGAAACCTCCGTAGGAAATGGGTACTGGGGGAAATAGACAAAAGGGTATACGGGGAGGAGGAGGTCCATTGCAGGAGGATTCTTTGCAAGGCTAAGGCTATTTACGAGCTGAGACTTGCAAAGAATATCAAGAGCAGCAAGAAGGACTTCTTTCAGCATGTAAATAGGAAGAGGAAGGGGAGACAAGTAGTGGGATCACTAAATAAGGAAGAAGGAGATCCAGTGACTGATACGAGGGAAGAGGCACAGATGCTAAATGACTGTTTTGCCTCTGTGTTCTCCCCAAAGCAGGACGGGGGAGATCCACATGGGAGATTAGATGAGGCCAGGGACTTAGGGCCACAGACTAGAGTCACCCCCCCTAGAAGTCAAGGGGCTCCTCAGGGCACTGACATTGCAAAGGTGCCAGGCCCTGACAGGTTGCACCTGGGAGTACTTAGAGGGTTGGCCGGGGTTTTCGCATGCACACTGGCCTCCATTTTTGAAGCCTCGTGGAGAACAGGTGAAGTTACAGAGGACTGCAGGGTGGCGTAAGTCGTCCCGAATTACAAAAAGGGTAGTAGAAGGGACATGGGGAATTACGGACCAGTTAGCCTGGCGTCCATTGTAGGAAAAACAATGGAAAGGCTCATAATAGCGAGAGATCTAGTGATGCTAGATAGGAAAGGGAGGCTGGCGGCCACACAACACGGCTTCTGCAATAACAGGTCCTGCCAGACAAACCTTGTGGAATTCTATGACAAGGTTTCAAGGTGGCTAGATGGAGGGGATGCAGTGGGTGTGGTTTACCTGGATTTCAGCAAGATCTTTGCCAAAGTGCCCCATGATATCCTGGTTGAGATACTGAGGAGTTTTAGGATAGACCAGTGCACTTTCTGATGGATTAGGGCATGGTTGACTGACCAAAAGCAGAGGGTAACCATCAGTGGGGAGTCATTGGGATGGTGGCCAGTGACAAACTGGGCTGGTGGGATGGGATGTCTTGAGGCCGATCCTGTTTAATCTTTTCATCAGTGACATGGAAGAGGGGTGAACAGTCTGCTGATAAAATTTGCAGATGATACTAAAACTGGGGCAGTGACCACAACTGAGGAGCAGGTAGTCCAGATCCAAAAGGATCTGGACAGACTATGGAAGTGGGCAGGAGACAACAGGATGACATTCAATGTGGATAAATGCAAGGTCTTGCACTTGGGGCATAGGAATGGGTGTTGTAAGTACATGTTAGGGGACAAGAGGCTGGAGAGCAGCACTTGGGAAAGGGACCTCGGGGTGCTGGTTGACTGCAGGCTAAAAGTGGGTCAGCAGTGTGGTGCGGTGGTCAAGAGGGCAAACGCCACCCTTGGTTGCATAGCCAGAAGTGTGGCTTCTAGATCAAGAGAGGTATTACTACCATTCTATACAACTCTGGTGCGCCCACAACTGGAGTATTGTGTTCAGTTTTGGACCCCTCATTACAGGCAGGATGTAGCCAGGTTAAAGTCAGTGCAGTGTAGGGCCACAAGATTGGTGGCCGGTTTGTAGGGGAAGCCATATGAGGCGAGACTGAGGGAACTGGGTCTCTTCAGCCTGGAGAAGAGGAATCTCAGAGGGGATCTGTTGGTGAAACACAGGTATGTGAGGGGTGTCACACAGAGGTGGGTAGAGACCTGTTCTCCCCTGCAGAGGAGGGCAGGACATGCTGCAACGGAGCAAAGCTCAAGGAACCGAGGTTCAATTTATATGTCAGAAAGTAATTCCTGAGAGTTAGGACCCCAAGGGTATGGAATGGGCTTCCATGGGAAATGGTTGAGGCCCCGTCGGGGATGGTGTTCAAAGATAGGCTAGACATGCACATGATGGGCATGTCATGAGTGGAGCCGGCTGGAGCCAGGGATCAGACTAGATGGCCCAGGAGGCCCCTTCTGACTCTTTTTCTATGTTTCTAGTTAGTTCACTAATCAGGATATCATGGGGTGCTTTATCAAACTTTTTGGTGAAGTCAAGATATATGTCCACAGCATTCCTACAATCCATCAAGGAGGTTACCCAATCAAAAAAAAGAAAAGAAATGTGTCAGGAGCAGAAAGCATTCCTTTTTGCACAATCTGCCCCCCCCCCCCCACTCACCCAAATAAGGCTAGTGAAAGCAGCTGCAGCCACTTGGCCCATCAGTTTTGTTGCTTTATGCTGCTGCCTCTGATCACTGCCATAAGTGTACTAGACTGTGTGGTGTCAGCCTCACTGTGTCCTCAGGAGCCCATAAGTTCTGGTACTGTCATGCTGGGTTTTTACACTCTCCTGGCAGAGGCTCTGTGGGAGCAAAGAGGGGGTAGCATGTGTGAGGGTTTATGGGAAAGTAGAATTTAGGGAGGGATAAGAGAATATGTTCTAGCCCAGGATAAGGTCAGACATATGGCTGTCACACAGTATGCTAAATACAACCACATCAATGATAGCCATTTTCAGCAACCTAGGCTGTTATCAAGCTCTACCATATTCCCAGAACTTTCATAGGTCTACTCCCAGGTAAATGAGTAAAGACTACTAATTAAGTAAAGCGTGTTGCATTCATGCCCATCCTTCAATTTCACCAATGTTTCCATAAAGAAATATGTTAAATTAAGATGACCTGTTAATCTCTGGTAAAGTATCCTACATCCTTCTTTCTTTTTGCAGTATATTGTTTGCAGACATCGTGGGATTTACCAGCCTGGCATCACAATGTACTGCTCAAGAATTGGTGAAACTTCTAAATGAACTCTTTGGGAAGTTTGATGAATTAGCTACAGTAAGCATGCCTTTTTCCTTTTCAATATAATTTGAATTGATTTGTGAATTATGTCTAGTGTCTTTGTCAGTGGGAGGAATTGTACCTAGTTTAGACATGAAACAGACTGATTGCCAATCTTGTTCCCATTATAAGGTCCATAAATCATCACACATTCCTAAAGTTTGTGTTAGTGGATTTATAATACTGGGTTTAAGCAATCCATTGGAGCTGTAAAATGTAAATGGTAAGAAAAAGAAACCAAACCTGGCATTTTGAGAATGATTCATCACCAGTTGTATCAACATCATTAGCTTCAGAAGGAGATATTGACAAAATGCAATAACAATTAAAAACTAGTTGTGTATCATGCATAGAAATACAAATGTTGAACTCATAGTATAGGGTTAGGGTTAGGTTATAACCAAACATAAACATTCCTGATACCGAGCATTCAGTTCATCTTGAGTCTCTTGAGTGGGTACTTATTTTGCTCATTTGCTTCTTTTGCTTCTTTTTTATTTAAAACTTATTTTAAGTGTTAATTTATTGTGTAGGATTTTAAAATTTTTAAGCCGAGATGCACCGGGTTTTAATATTTTTAGTGTATAACTTTGTTTTTGTATAATTTTGTATATCTTTGTTTTTGTTGCAAACCGCCCTGAGGCTTTGTTGCGATGGGGGCAGCATAAAAATGTTTTAAACAAGTAAGTAAGTAAGTAAGAGTGATGTTCAACCTGTTCTGAAAGGGATTGCACTTCCCTTGAAGAATCAGAATGTAGTTCAGGGTATTCTTAGATCCAGCATACACATTGGAGGTATAAGGGACCACAGTGGCATGTAACACCCTTTATCAACTTAGAAGGAGATAGCAACTATGATCTTGAACAGAGAAGAGACAGTGTAGCTACAGTTATGCAGGCTTTTATAACCTCCTGTTTAGATTAGTGAAATGCTTTGTATAGCAGGTAGCCTTTTAAAATGGTTTGGAAAATAGGGCAATGAGACAGGAATAGGCAGATATGATCATATCATGCCAGTGCTTTATGCTCTATGCTAGCAGCTAGTCCATTTCTAGGCCAAATTTAAAGGGTTGGCATTTGCCTCCAGATTCCCAACCCACTTGGGGCCAGGCTAGCTGAAGGATTTTTCCTTGTGAAAAATCCTCCCCAAACCCTACAATTATCCTCCTCTTGGTTCCCCTACAAATGAGGTATTGTGTGTGCCTACTAAGGAGAGGGTGGTAACATCTCAGTTGTGGAATGTTTTTTGCAGGAAGACCTGTATTATAGCTATTTTGGTGACAGGTTAAGACATTTTTATTTTTACTCTGGCTTCATAGAGACCTCCTGACGTGTGAATTTTAGAAATTGTGTTGATTTTTTTTTTAGATCTTTGCATTGCTGTGTTTTTTAAAATCTTGTTTAATACTTTATTTTATTCTGTTTTAAACTTAAAGTGTTTATATCTGTTTTGCTATAATATTGTATTTTATGGTTTTAAGCTTGGCCTTGTAAACTTTGTGGAGAGCTTTGATTGATAAGAATAATGGAAATGTCACTGCAGCAGAGCTTCTAAGGACAATGAGTTCTGTGGAAGAGCTTCTCTAAGAAATCTCTCAGTGGGGGACCAGACTCAAACGTTCATTCTAGGAACACCAAAAATACAATAACTTGAGGCACAGCCAGTTTGACATAAAACAAAGGATTCAGTGGCTTAGTTCCTAGAAAGAACAAGCATTTTGCAACTGGATGCTTGGTTGAATTGAGTCTGACTAATCAAGTTTGACAAAGTTAGACTTCCATGAGACAAGTAGACAGAGGTTCACAAAACTAAAAGGAACATAAAAACACAAGAAAAGCCATGCTGGATCAGACCAAAAGTCCATCTAGCCCAGCATTCTGTACACATGGCAGCAATCATTTGCTATAGGATCATCCAAGCAGAATGGGTACAAGACCTTCTTCGTCGTGGCCTCTGTCCATCACACATATGGGTGCTGTGCCTGTGCAGTGTCTCTGGCCAGAAAGATTCGAAAGCTTAACGGTTTTGACGGGAACTCCACACCCCTCCCCCCCATGGTATAAAAGGGCAGAGTGCCCGCTATTTCCTCAGTCTTCTTGCGACCGTTTGCTGTGCCTTGAGCTTTTCGTCTCTCAGTTTGTATACGTTTATTCAAGTCTTTCCCTCCCTGTTAGAAGTTTTCTTCTCAATTTCCCCCTTTTCCCTGTTCAAAAAAAAATTACTCCTCTTTCTATCTACTTTGCTATCATCTTGTTCTTCCTTGATGGCGCAGTGTGCGGCTTTTCCGCAAGTGCTCTCAGTGTAGGTCCAAAATGTCCCCATTGCCAGGCCTTTACCAAGCAGGTGAGGAAAAATTGAGAGAATCGCCTGCGCAAACTCTTGTTGGACCAAGCCCTGCTCCAATCTGACCAACTGGTGGGCAAATCTGTTTCTCCATCCTCCGCTTCCACCACACCTCGGCCCTGCCCATTGGCTGATGGTGCCAGAGAGTCAACGCTCCTCTTCATCTCCACACAAACAAATGAAGAAGAGGAAGCATAGCGGATCCAACAAGTCCTCAGGCCATAAGAAGCCTAAGAAGGACGAGACCGAGAAGTTCTCCCATGAGCAACGGGACATTCCCTTTTTGGGATCAATCCCCGATGGAGAGATTCGAGACTCTCCTCCAATGGCTCGTTCACTTACTCCACAACCATCACCTGAGCCTTTCCCGAGGGCTGCTGCTCAGCAGGAGTGATATCAGCAGCGCACCTCCGTTTGTCCCTCTGAAGAATGGGTGCAGCCGCCCCATAGGCCGTCTCATCGCGAGCCATGGGATGATTATCTGCCCTACGGTTACTACCCATCGGTGCGCGATTGTACCCTCTCTCCGGTACCGAGAGATGCTCCTTTGATCTCGAGAGCGACTCAGTCCAGGCTTCCTACTTCGCCTATTGATTCTTCTTCTAGTCTCCTGCCCCACTATGATTCGGACTCAGGAGACTCCGAAGTGGCATCATCTTCACCAGACACGGTGAGAGCCAGTGTGGTGTAGTGGTTAAGAGCATGGGACTGGGACTCAGACGATCTGGGTTCCAGTCCCCACTCAGCCATGGAGCCAACTGGGTGACTTTGGGCCAGTCACAGACTTTCAGCCCAACCTACCTCACAGGGTTGTTGTTGTGGGGATAAGATGGAGGAGGAGAATGATGTAAGCTGCCTTGAGCCCTTTGTAGGAAAAAGGCCGGATATAAATCTAAAAAATAAAGAATAAAAATTCTACACATGGTCCCAGCTCACCGGAGCAACCCTACGTAATCTTTGGGAAACTGATGGCAAGGCTTACGTGATCACTTGAGATCGAGGCCCAGCACCGCTTCGATCCCAATACCGACAAATTTTTACAATATTGTCAAAGATGAACAGTTGGCTGCCATCTTTTTGCCACTTATTACCACTCTTTGCCAGGCAATGATGGAACCGTGGAACTATCCAATCAGCCTGAACCCACTTCATGACAATACGAGGCCATGTATCGAGTCTGTAAGCAGGATATTCCATTCCTTCTGCGTAATCCGAGACCAATCTCGATAGTTGTTGGGTCATCCCAAGGACATGAATCGAGGGGACACACTACCCCCCACAAAAAAGAGGGCCGCAAGATTGACATGTTGGCTTGCCAGATCTATGCCGCTACAAGACTTGGCCTCCGCATTTCCAATTATGAGGCCACGCTGGCTCGATACCAATACTTTATTAAGCAGAAAAACCTGGCTAGAATCTTCATTAAAGAGGCTATGCAGGTGGCAGTCCAGCAGCTTTCCACGGCATTACACCATGTCAATTCCGACTCTAGAGCTCTTGTCAGTGCCGTAGCCCTCTGTCGTCATGCCTGGCTCCAGAACTGCAACTTTCCGGATGAGACGTAATGCCAGATTGAAGAGATGCCCTTTGACAGTTCAGGGCTCTTCAACGCACGGACAGATCACAAGATGAAGACTATGCATGAGTTGAGGGTTACAGCTCGCCAGATGGAAGTCCCAAATCAATTGCTCCATAAGTGGTCTTGGTCTCTCCCGTCCTACAGATACCAGCCGTACTCACAGTTTGCGGGCCGTCTGCAGTTCCATCCCCGGCAACAGCGTCGGAAGCAACAACAACAACGCTTCCAACAGAACCGTCGTTGTCCCAACTCCGACAAACGTCAACGTTGACAGGACGAGCAAACCTCTCCTCTCCTCCTCAACCCACCTTCCCCTCTTCCCTTTGGGGATCAGCTGCAAAGTCGACTCCCCATCTGGGAGTCCATCACATCTGATCAGTGGGTTTTTATCCATTGTACAGCATGGATACAGAATTGAGTTCGATACTGTGCCCCCGCTAGGACTGATTTGATTTATGCCTTACTTATTTCTCGTTGACGAAGTCCAGCAACTTTTTCGTAAAGAAGCGATTCAACAGCTTTCACGCTCCTAGGGGCTCCACGAATTCTACTCAACATATTTCACTATCCATAAGCATGATGGCAGTCTTCATCTGATTCTGGACCTACGTGGCATCAATACGTTCATCAAGACCACAACATTTCAGATGACTACCCTCCCAAATGTCCTTCTGTTGCATAGGAGAGAGGATTGGTTCGCTTCTCTGGACTTGAAAGATGCCTATTTTTCTCATTACCATTCACCCATCTCACAGGCGTCTTCTTCAGTTCACAGTCGGTTCCAACCTATTTGAGTACAACGTCTTGCCATTTGGACTGGCTACTGCCCCCCGGGTTTTTAGGAAATGTATGGCCCTGGTGTGCACGCACCTTCGGCTCCAAGGATTCAAGTATACCCCTACCTGGATGACTGGCTGATCGTCTCCCCGTCTAAGGAAGGCCTTCGGTCAGCACTTCAAACTACTTGTACCCTTTTGGACCAGTTGGGACTATGCATTAACCATGAGAAGTCGTGCCTTGTTCCCTCACAGGTCATCAACCTCATTGCAACCTGTCTCGATTCCACGCTGCCAAG